CAAAGTCAAGGCCTGAGACAACGTGACTTCCTGCGAGGATCTCCTTAAACCGCAGCTCACGAACAACATTTGGCTCATCACCAGGCAAATTGCTAACCGAGACGTTTGCAAATCCTGTTTGCATCTACCTTTGTGGTGCCTGTGCATGTCTCGGAGAGAGTTGTTACAGTGATCATGAAAGTACTGTATCGCTATATGTAACATTGTAAGCTACAGAGTGGCAATGGTGGTGTTGGCGAGAAGAGCGGCGCTAACCACAGTCAATGGTCCCATTGGCCACGCAGTTCTGGGTCCGATGAGCCGTGACCGATCCCCGATACAGTTTAGTCGGCTGCAGTTTCCCACTTCCCACCCGTCTAAAGACACGTCTCGCGCCGATACTTCCGCCAGACCACATTTATAATTCCATTACGTGGTCCGAATGGGTGATAAGGAAAATGGACCAGCTCTCTGTTCGACATTGGAAACTGTGAGATACAAGACGATTAAATTGATTCATGATGGTTGTTATTTCCGTGATGACGTTGAATTGCCGGAGACCAGACTTGTGTCTCGCTTGTGATCACTTCAACATTAATCTTCACAGCGACATGTTAACATTGTCTCACTGATGAGCGAATTGGCCACTTTGCTTTCTCAAATCAGTGAGAGAACATGTACATTGTACATTGTTAGGTAACTGTAGGAAAAATCTTTAATTCCTATTAAATATGAATACTCATAAGGTTAACATGTGAAATTCTAGAGCCACAGGATTTTTTGGATAGAAATATGTCTATATGTTAATCGGGTATGTCATCATACCAAATTACCAAATTGCGTTAGCTATCATCATACCAAATTTCAGCCCAATCCCACCAGTAGCTAATCAAGGTCACACTATGCGTGATTGAACTTCAAACAAACAAACACACAAACTTTCATGTTTATCAATACAGTAAATTGTTCATCCACATAAATCATGACAATACAATTGGTATTATCTCAATACGACGCTAATGTTTACAATAATCATGCATTGAATTGGATAAATAAATAAACAAGAGCCAGCGTGGATGTGGAAGTAAACTAATCTAATACGGTCTTAAAACTATAATACCCCCGCCGCAGCAAACCTGCAGACTAAGCGAATTTCCATTTGCCTGATTAGATTTTCAATGAAATCTATTCAAATAACATTAGGTATAACGAGCACCTAGGTTTGCTGCCTACAGTGTAATAAAGTGTGTTTAAAAAAAACACATATTTTATAGTAAAACTAGCTGTAACCCGCGGGCTTTGCCCCGTTTAACTTCTTAATTTTCAAGATTATCTCGTTCGCATGGCTCAATCACGTCCTGGTTGAAGTTTGTTCGCTACGCTCACTCACCTTTAGGTTGGAGCTCGTTCGCTACGCTCACTCACCTTTAGGTTGGAGCTCGTTCGCTACGCTCACTCACCTTTAGGCTGGAGCTTGTTCACTACGCTCACTCACCTTTAGGTTGGAGCTCGTTTGCTACGCTAACTCGCCTCCAGGTTGAAGTTTGTTCGCTACGCTCACTCACCTTTTGGTTGCAAATTAGCTGTTGTCATAAATGTAAAAGAAATAATAGTGCTGCACCCTGTTGGTAATCCTTGTAACTTTAATGCTATTGAACATCATAGAACAGAACCAACTTGTTTAATTGAAACAGCTGTTAAGATTCATTAATTCCATTTCTCATAAGGTTAACATGGGAAACTCCAGAGCCACTGGGGCGGAGCCCTTTTAAGAATTTCGAAACGGGAAATAGTTTACGTCCGATTCGCATACCTACAGAATTTACACACCAAATTTCATAACGATCGGTGAAGTCGTTCCGGAGGAGTTTGCAGACAAACACTGTGACACGAGAATTTTATATATTAGATATTAATAGCTTAGTATAAAATAAATAGATTGGGCAAGTTTGATCCAAATATATGCATAAACAAGCAAACTACAACAGTTTACTTATTCTCCTTAAGAATAACATGGGAATTTTTAATTTACAATTTTCTCCGTAACCAATAACCATACAAAACCCCCACCGCAGCAAACCTGCAGACTAAGTTAATTTCCATTTGACTGATTGGATTTACACTGAAATGTCTACTTAAAAATATAACATTTATTCCCTATTTAAATAGAATTAGTTTAACAAGTACTTAGGTTTGCTGCATCAGGGAGGGTAAAACTGTTTTTTTTTTTTTGTAAAATGTTAATAGTTAGTAAGAAATAAAAACATTTTCAAAATTTGATTAAAATATGTTCATAAACAAGCAAACTACAACAGTTTACTTATTCTCCATAAGAATAACATGGGAATTTTAAATTTACAATTTTTTGGAATTTTCTCCGTAACCATTAGGCGCATAATAACGCTTCAATAAACTAAATTATTTGTATTTTTAAGCTCTACAAAATGGTTTGGAAAGAAATTGCTAAATTTTATGTTTTTGGGTCAAAAATGGGAAAAAACCATTTTTACCCCATAAAACCCCCCGTAAACCCCCGTTCCCATGGTCCGATCATGCTGGATCGCGAACTCGTTCGAATAAACGTAGGTTTACACGTTTGTACCAAATTTCATCAAAATCGGATCATTTTTGCTCGAGTTATCGTGCTGACGGACACACACATATATATATATATGAATTTGAACGGATGGTGTTTTTGGCCTCTAGGGACCTCAAAACGAAAAAAAAAATCGGTCTCGCTCCAGGTCTTACCATGAGTACTACGGTAATAGCTTATTCCCTATATGGGAAATTCGCTAAAATGATTATCACTCCATTGTAAACATTCATTATCCATTGCTAGCTCTGTAAACGAGACAGGTGATGGACAACGGTTCTCTCATTCCAGTGTTAGTTATTAACTCCATGCATTACCCAACGCTCAACGCTCAACAACGACGTTTATGACTATAACTCATCCCTTAACTGGTCATTTATGACAAACCGTTAGGTTGTTGCTCCCATGTGTTACATTTTACAGGATATTCTTTAAAATAATCCTAAAGGACCCATGCTGCTCCGCAGCGTTAAAATAAATATAATATCTGAGAAATAATCAAATTTATGACTTTTGATTGAGTAATACAATATGTATTGCCAATACAATATGTGCTTAACTGACTCAAACTCTCAGTAGCTTGAATTAAAGCCTATAATTTTCTAATTATTTTGAGTCTCAAATATATATATAATACCCCCGAATTTAAAATTTAATGGGAATTTTAAATTCACCATTTTTTTTAAGTTTTCTCCGTAACCATTAACCGTACAAAAACACTTTGATATACTGAATTATTTTTTTTTAAAGCTCTTTAAGAAGGTTTAGAGAAAAATTGGGAAATTTTGTGTTTTGAGGGTCAAAAGTGAGAAAAACCAATTTTTACCCCATAAAACCCCAATAAAACCATGTTGGTTGTCCATTTTGCGTTTGCTTGAAACTCGTCCGATTTGAATAACGAATAGTTTGAATGAAAGGCGGTATTTAACTGGAGGTTCTTGGACTAAAATATAGAGTATTATATAGTTATAACCGTGAAATAGATCTTAAATTGAAGTAAGAATTCGAAAATAAATGAAATTATGTTTTTTGTCGAGTAATACAGTAGATAAATATTTGCCGATGCTTGAAGTGAAAACTTGGCATGATGCCTTCTTTTGAGTCCTCAATCATGAAAATCGGTCGGGTAGAAGAGCCAAACGAACTCGGAAAAGACAAATCAAATTTAACTCCCATCCCATAAGAAAGACATGGGGAGCAATTTTGTTTACTGTACGTATAAACCGAGTGAGACTATAGATAATTATATGCCGATGCTTGATGGCAAATCTGTGCGTGCATACCTCGAATTTGAGACCTCAATCATGAAAATCGGTAGGGTAGAAGAGCAAAACGAACTCGGAAAAGAAAACCCAAAATTTAACTACCATAAGAAATACATGGAGAGCAAATTTCGTTTACGTATAAACCGAGTGAGACTATAGATTATAATATGCCGATGCGTGATGGCAAATCTGTGCGTGAATACCTTCAATTTGAGACCTCATGAAAATCGGTCGGGTAGAAGAGCCTAACGAGCTCGGAAAAGAACAACCATTTTTTAAAATATATAAGATAAACTATACGTTTTCTTAACAACGGCGTTAATCTAAACTAAATTATTATAATTTTAAAACATCTTTACGGATTAATAGACAACCACGTTTCCTTAAAACCTTTTTCCTCAGCTCGTGTAAATCGCAGGGAAAATCTACGCATATTGTTAGAAAGATATTTTCTAATAGATGTGCAGAATTCCTTTATACATTCAAATAGGGTCATAATGATCACAAAAGGATTTTTTTTTATTGACATGGGCCTTATGTGTTGCCATGCTGATGTATAATATAAACAGTGTATAATATAACACTAATTATAAACATAAAATCAAAGGAAACGTAAGAAATCAAAATCACATGTTTTATTTACAGCGGGGAGTGAAAATTGAGAAGTCTGTACATTACTTATTTTTGGTCGAGTTTTCGACCACGGGTCATTAATAAATCATTTATAAATCTATGTCAATAAATCCAAGAATGCAGTGGGTTGACTTATAATTAAGTTATCCATTACATATGCAGGGAGAATATTTTGAAAGCATATAACAAGTATTGTACCATAATGTTACGATTCATATAAATCTCAATAATTACTTAGTTCTACGGTTCTACCATAACAAACTTGTACGGTTCATCTAATTATTTTGAATATCTATGATTTTCTAATATCTATCATAAAGGCTGAGTTACAAAAGGCTTAATATTAATCTAATATTTTAAAAATTGTAAAGAATAATGGTAAAATGTTAAAGATTTACAAATTGAACACGATGTGAGATCTGTGAAATATTAAGATATTCAAAATGAGGGACATTACTAGTAAATTAAATTACTAGTAAATCATCTCAATCAACATGCCCTTCCTCAAGGGCATTCACGTTACGTATATAATTTATAGGAAAAATACAAGAAAAAATATACTCATAAAATGTTTTATTTCTTACAACTAACTGTAGTTTTGCTTACACATGTTAAATCATTATACTATTGACTTATACAACTTATTTTTGCACTTACCATAATAATGTGTTTGGGTTTTCTTATTAAAGCTAAAAACTAAATAAAAATGCGGGTTTTAAACATGGACATAACCATTTGTTAACAATTCAGACAAAGAAATCTGCCAATGAATATAAGAGTTTTTTTATGTTGAGTTAAAGTTTGAGATGTTGAGATGTAGCAAAATAATAAGTTACACTCTAGAATAGAACAGATTTTTTGTGGTTCAAAATTAAATACTGGTAAAAATAGGGAACACTATATTATCTTCCATTTTAACAGCAATTGGTTGGCAGAGTGATTGGTAAGGTAACCCTTCATTGGATGGTTACATATATTCACCATTATTTGTATTATAGAGAATTTATCATAAACTAACATGCTAAACTAAAATAACTTGTTTAGCAAAAACTTAAGTAATATCATCACAGTTAAATATTATATGAAATACAAAATACATAAACAAAGTAACTATTTCTACGCCATACTACTAAGCTGTCTTAACAATAAAAAATCTGTACAAATCCTTATGTATTAATTAATGAGCTGATGTCACATGTCTGCCTCTGACACTAAACAACCCTACTTGCGACGTTACCAATTCTACCAGGACGCGCCCTGGAGTTAAAGGCGGCCGTGAACGAAACACCATTTTATTGAGCTGGTGGCAAACAGCTGTTTTCTGGACTAAATCCTTGCGTGGGAAGTTCGTTAAAACAGAGTAGTGTGGCGTAAAATATCGTACGTCACTCGTCCAAAATGTGTTTACTGGTGTGTGGTCGTTCCCGCACTCAACTTCGTCTCGCACGGGAACGACCACACACCGGTAAACACTTATTTCAGGACTAGTAACGTAATATACTATCAATACGTTTGACTAGCTTAAGAAGTACATTAAAATAATGCACAATATTTTACTGGCCACGCATAACAAGGAGAGGCTAGACTATATATTGATTATAACTCAATATTATTACATGGTTATTTTTGAAGTTGCATCATACCAAGTAAAAGAACTGTTTACTAAATTATTCGCATTTGTTAGTTTAGTAGAGGCGGATAACAATAGTAATATGTGGATAATATAGTTATATGCATCAAGCGGACAAATGGCTACCATAAAGTCAATAACGCAGATAATTTAGAAACTTTGTAACATTCTACCAACATACGAGAAGTTATATTACGAGTAATATTAAACCGCACACAAATATTTATTTAAATTTATACTGTTAATAAAAATGTTGCCAAGCACCTAAAATGTACAATAACTTAGACATATTTCATGTAATATATTGGCAATTACTGTATGCACATTAAGATTTTTGTTAATAATTACTAGACGGCCAAATCACTGTTATGTTTATGGCACTAAGAATAGTATTGTTTGATGATGAAATTAATCTATAATATTTGAGGAAATTTATTTTATTCGGGAATTTAAAATGTGCACCATAGCATTGAACAGTTCACAGCAAGAGCTAAACAGTGAACAACGTCGTCTGTTTTCAAGAGCTGTACAATGTTAAAAACTATTTAAGATTGCATTAATGATCGACGAATTGAAATTTCGTTTAAAGTGTTGAGTGTATAAGTTAAGTATAATATACTACCTACCTGTACAACTTTTGACTATGGATACAACTACAACCAGACAATCCATTCCCATAGTAAAGTTAGAAAAAACATTGATGTAACAATTGAGTCACCCACACAGGTATCGTTATATCAATGCTATAACTTATACTGTACATCAATTTGAGGGAAATAAATTCAACGCGTTCAGGAAGAAACTGTGTAGCGGAAATTATGTTAATCAGGCCTGATTATCCTCCGACGTGACTTGAACAACGCACAAGACGGTAATGGAAGTTGTTGGCTTATCGTGATGTGGGGTTAGTGAATGAATCATGTTCGATTCCCAGATGTAGTGATGGGACGCAAGCTGAGCTGGCATGTGGAGTGTTGTCACTAGCCATAGCTGCGACGACGCTTGTTATTGAGCCAGTCCTGTTTGATCATGTCCGCCGCCTTCTCGCCGATCATGAAGATGATGGCGTTGGTGTGTCCCGTGGGGATGACCGGCATGATGGAGGCGTCCACCACTCTCAGTCCAGACACACCATACACCCTCAATCTGGGGTCCACCACGGCGTCGGGGTCGCTGGCTGGACCCATCTTGCAGGTGCCCACCTACAACACAACATACAACTAACATTAGATTATTGTGCGACTGATCCAAAGTGAATACGACATGGTTTTGCGTCAACTTTCATGATTCCAAATGCTAAATCACACCTCATTGGTATTTTTCAAATGCGAAGCCGGTTTTCAACATCTACAATATAAAACAAGTAGCTATAAAACTAAATACATGGCTTCTTTTAACCTTGAATTTGCCCGGTCACGTGGGTCTTGGATTCTAAACGTTGAAAGTATCCAGAAAATCAAGGGGTGAGCCGGTACAGTACAAGGGGTGACATTTGCTGATACTGATACAATTCAGTGGTGATCCCATCCCAGGGCTCGCCGCTAGCCAGCACATCTCACAGACTGACTACCGATTGTAATCTACAGTATAAACTATTGCAGTTATAATAGTGAGGGGACATCTCCACATTAATTTCGTGAATTGTTATAGATATAGTTATAGATATAGTATTCACGTTTTGTTCCAATTATATTATTGAACTGTTAATAATTCACGTTTTAGACAGCTCACATTTTAATAATAAACGTGCTATTTCTAAATCGTAAGTATTTCAAAGTTTTTGAAATAATAGAGTAGTTCAAACTGCAAGCTACATGCTAAACACTCTACACTATATGTCTACTCTAAGAGCAAGTGTCTGACCTGATGATGCAGATTGGTAGTGAAGTGTCTGACAGCACACGCCCAGTACTGGTCCGAGGCGAAGGTATGTGCCTCACAGCCAGGGATGGGGTTACGGACCAACAGGGCAGCCTACATGCTAAACACTCTACACTCTATGTATACTCTAAGAGCAAGTGTCTGACCTGATGATGCAGATTGGTAGTGAAGTGTCTGACAGCACACGCCCAGTACTGGTCCGAGGCGAAGGTATGTGCCTCACAGCCAGGGATGGGGTTGCGGACCAACAGGGCAGCCTACATGCTAAACACTCTACACTATATGTATACTCTAAGAGCAAGTGTCTGACCTGATGATGCAGATTGGTAGTGAAGTGTCTGACAGCACACGCCCAGTACTGGTCCGAGGCGAAGGTATGTGCCTCACAGCCGGGGATGGGGTTGCGGACCAACAGGGCAGCCTACATGCTAAACACTCTACACTCTATGTATACTCTAAGAGCAAGTGTCTGACCTGATGATGCAGATTGGTAGTGAAGTGTCTGACTGCACACGCCCAGTACTGGTCCGAGGCGAAGGTATGTGCCTCACAGCCAGGGATGGGGTTACGGACCAACACTGCAGCCTACATGCTAAACACTCTACACTATATGTATACTCTAAGAGCAAGTGTCTGGCCTGATGATGCAGATTGGTAGTGAAGTGTCTGACTGCACAAGCCCAGTACTGGTCCGAGGCGAAGGTATGTGCCTCACAGCCGGGGATGGGGTTGCGGACCAACACTGCAGCCTACATGCTAAACACTCTACACTATATGTATACTCTAAGAGCAAGTGTCTGGCCTGATGATGCAGATTGGTAGTGAAGTGTCTGACAGCACACGCCCAGTACTGGTCCGAGGCGAAGGTATGTGCCTCACAGCCGGGGATGGGGTTACGGACCCACAGTGCAGCCTACATGCTAAACACTCTACACTATATGTATACTCTAAGAGCAAGTGTCTGACCTGATGATGCAGATTGGTAGTGAAGTGTCTGACAGCACACGCCCAGTACTGGTCCGAGGCGAAGGTATGTGCCTCACAGCCGGGGATGGGGTTACGGACCAACAGGGCAGCCTACATGCTAAACACTCTACACTATATGTATACTCTAAGAGCAAGTGTCTGACCTGATGATGCAGATTGGTAGTGAAGTGTCTGACAGCACACGCCCAGTACTGGTCCGAGGCGAAGGTATGTGCCTCACAGCCAGGGATGGGGTTACGGACCAACCTGGCTCTGTATCTCTGGAACGGGGAACTCTCCCCTATTTCCACCGCCTGGAAAAACACACGGACAAATGTCAGAGTTGGTCAAGAGCTGCATAAGGCGTCACATTAACTAATTGATCAAGCCATTTAGTATATTATGAAATCACTTTAGCAAAATACTTATTAACTAGACGAAGGGCTGTCCAGTGTCCACTGTCCTGCAAATAGCTTTCTGCGGTGCAGACACCATGGGTAAACAACTTACTAAGAGCCCGCAAGCACCATCTTGCATTTTCATATCATTGATTGTAGCCTCCGAATTAACGTTAAATAATTAAATCGGGTTTTATACGTTCTTCCAACTGTTGCCTACTGTACTGTAACTAAAATTTAAAAATGTTCATCATTCTTAAATGGGAAATAGTAACTTGTAGTTTGCTTGTTTATAAATATATTTTGATCAAATTTGGTAAAATTATTTATTTTATATAGTAGACCTACGATTAGTTTGTTACTATTTTATTTGTACTACCGTTAAAACACTCCGTATGGACCTAATGTTATTTAAATAGGTTTAAATTGAGCATGTTTTGAATGGAAATCATTTAGTGAAAAGCCAATTAGACAAATGAACATTCCATTCGCTTAGTGTGCAGGCATGCTGCTGCGGGGGTACTTTACTTTAAGAACGTATACGTAAGGTGGTGCCGCGTGAGAGCATGTACGTACAGGTATGTTGCTTCAACGCGTGGCGAATGTTGAATGAAGTAGGTGACGACGAGTTAAAATTTCGCGTCATCCAGATACCACCAAAATGTGGTAGAGATTTACGTTCTTCTTTTCGATTTGCACGTATTCTTAAAACTTAATGATACAAGTCTTTAATGTGAACAAATACTGAAACAAAACCGAACACGCATGAGAACAAATGCAATACAACAACGCACAGCCTTTTGTAAGGGGTTTTTCTTAGGAAATAAATTGGGATTTCCAATTTTTGTCCTATAGACGTAGACATGAAACATAGGCAATTTTATGGTATTTCGAAACCATTTTAACGAAAAGAGTACATTAATGTACAAGTGTTGTTGTACGCTTAACGGTTACACGGTAAAAATTCTAAGGGAGACTGCTGTAGATTCCATGTGCAAGGATGTATTTGAAAATCTTTGCTAAATTTAATTATTTCATACTAAGATATGAAAATATCACTAGGCCTATATAAAAAAGAATTAAATAATGCTATACTTGTCTACGATTTCACTTTTAAAAATACACATACACACAATAGGTTGTTATTTACTTAGCTTGAAGTAGGAAATCGAAGTACTCATTGAACCTGATATTATAAAAATTCGAAAAATGTGACATGTGTAAGGAAATGTGTCAGGTAAGAGAGCGGTAGGTAGTGAGACTTCGGTCCCCGAGGTCCCGGGTTTTAATACGGTACCGCCAATCACCAATGGGTTTTACCTAAGTGATAATACCACGAACCCCTCTATACCTAGCCTGAAGTAATGTGAAAAAATTCCGGGACAGAGCTCAAAAGGAACAAAAAAAAAACACACACACAAATATGGCTGTAAGTTTGCTAGTCTGCAGGTGTGCTGTGTTCTTTGGGGATATGCGATTCGTTAAGATACATAGTGTTGTAATAATTGATACTTTTTAATTGATTTTACGGTGGAATATTTAATTATATTGTTGAAACTAATAACAGCTAACTAAAAGTACGCCAGATTATCGTATACAGGCCAACGTTATAATAGTCATACCCTACTGACGTCAGGCCTACCTGTGTGCTGGTCTTACTACAGACCAGGAAGTATGTTTAATCTATGAGTTTATTTACAGTTCCAAGAAGCGTACTAACCAGAAATAACTTACATTGTTGACAAAAATAACGTTCATCGACATTCATCATATCGATGGTTATATGCACAAACATTGTATGTCCAATTTTTTTCACTTTTGACATTTTTATATATTTGGAAAGCTGTAGTCTTCATCTTTCAGATCACACATATTGTATGTCCATATTACAATAGGAAAAATTAATATAAATTCTCAAAATAAAAGTGTTCACTTTGGTATGATGTAATTTTATCCTGCACACTTGTAGCATGTCCAATGATTGCAGTACCAGCTGAACAGAGAAAAACTCCTTTAGAGCACAGATATAGTATCTTTGGACTTGCAATGATTGTGCATGAAAATACAAGGCCTACTATCTCTGGTATTTGTTTTTCATCTTGTAGTATGTCCAAAAATCTGATGATCTCAAGTGCACTCTTATAGTATGTCCACATTTTATTTTACAATTAGGTTAGGTTTAGGACATACAGCATCTGTGCACAACAGAACATAACACCAAAAAAGAATCCGTGAATTGGCTAAAGGTAAAGTGGTTTGGGTTTTAAAAAGCAAACCCCTTTGAAATTCTATACAAGTACGAACTTAACAAGGAAATAGAGTTTTTGACTCTTGATGTACGAATGGATCCCGAGACGCCATTTGTCTGGGAACAACAACTTCTCAGTCCAAAGTACACCGAGCCTATTCCGGTTTCCAGCGCCAAGAAAAAGGATTTGATGTACCTACTTAAAGCGGGTGTAATCCCAGAAGCATTCACGCATTTTGTCACTGAAATCCCTAGTTCCGCATCGGCAAGAGATATTGTACTTTACGTCATAGAGGAAGAAGAAGGAAACAAGTCTCTCACTGAAGTTACCAAAAAGAAAGAAGGAAGACGCAGTAGAAGAGATGTTATAGGGCAAGAAACCAGAAAAAGAAGTAATGTAAAGAGAGTTTAAGAAAACCAAGGAGGCTAAAAAAACCCAGAGAAAATAAAAGAAATTAAAACTTCATAAGAAAATAAAGTAATGTGTCTAAAGGACAACACTGTTGAATAAACCCCATAAAGACTGACTCAACAAAATACAGTTTGTACTGTATAGGTACCATTTTACAAAAGGCACTACCTGATTTATTTCGTGCTTTGTTTAATGTTTTGTTTAGGCCGATTTGTGTTTAAGTTTCTAATAGCTGGTAGGCCAAGTAATTTTTATTTTTAAAATGTTAAAATAAAAGTAGTCTACAATGTAAGACAATAACAGTCATGGGCGATTATAAAGAAAAAAAATTATAGTTGAATAAAGCCTAGATAACAGCCAAGAAAGTTTATGTTTTGTTTTCTGAATAGTTTTGTTAAAGTATGAAAGTATACAAAGTATAAAAGATTTTTACATCTGTGAGTCAACTACTTATTTGATTTAAACATCAATTTAAAACATTTTTTAGACATGACCATTTTGAACATACTTTTATAAATTCCTTAAAACCCAAGTGATCACAGAACATTATGTGTATTAAATTTATTTCTATTTTTTTTAGCCAGGGGGCGCCCATGATAACAGTTGTTTAAATTTTTCATTCCTTACTAAAACCATCTAGGGGCAGTTTTTGTATTGCACACTCGTAGCATGTCCATAAATCTGCGCGTTCAGAAGTGCACACATATAGTATGTCCAACATGGTTTGATTTACAAATTATTTGTAAAAATGTGGCTTGAATAAAGATAAAACTATTTATGTAGATGCATTTTTAATAAATGGGGCCAATAAAATTTATTTATTTCAAACATTTAACAGTTTTAGTTTAAGTTTCCCCCATAATACAAATTTTGTTTTTGCGGTTTCCGAAAGTTTACCAAAATGGACATACAACTATTGTGCTTATAACCATCGATATACTGATCAGCAAGTCGGTAATATTCGAGGGTGTTGTATACATTGGATTTGTTTATTTTGAGTGTTAGACTAACATTCTATCAGTTCCGTGACAGTCTAACTAAAACACCAAAGTAACGTGTTGTGTTGAGAGAAGTTATCACAACGCGTGTTTAACACACGTTAAAGCATCGAGTATTTCCAGTTGGCAAATCCTTGCCGTGTTCGATTACCCGTTTTGCGTGTTAGATTAAGATAAAAGATTGGACGGAATTTGCTTCGTATTTGCTTGAATTTATTTGCCCTGCTTTCTAGCTGTCCAAATAAAGTTTCAATGGAATACAGTTTGGATTTATTTTGTAAATAATTATAAATCCACAGTTTAAAAAAAAATTATATTTGTGGGAAAATAATATACTTATAATTAAGTCATGGTTAGAATAATGTAATTTTAAAAGTTTTATTTCAAGTGAAATTTTAGAAATGATGTATATTTTTGTGTTAACCTTAAGATAAGCTTATAAAAACAGACACCTAAATCGTTCGTTACCTACGTGCGATTTGCATATTTACAGTGTCATTGTTCTTCATGTCCTATAATTAAATAATATCCATTTACTACTTCTTTAACTTTTATTTTGAATAATTGAATGGGCTTTAAGACCATGCAATTCAGGCAATAGAATGTTAACGGTGATTTGAGCTCCTTAACCGGTGTAACAAAACGTAATATTACTGCGATGGCAGAATTTACTGTTGAAGCATCTTTACGTTTATCTCGTTCGCCATTAATTGGTATGAATTATGTATTAGGGGCGCCTATAAATCCACAGGAACGGAGGGTTGGTGTGCTGAGGAATACTGAATCAAACGTTAACAATCTTCTATTATCACCGCTTACGTCCTGTTCCACAAAGTATAAACATAGCCGAAGGCCACCAAAAAGGTGTATTTTTATAATCTTCCTTTTATACTTTTACCACCTACTAGTGGCTTGTAGGGACATAAGTCCCAAAAAAGCTCAAATGAAAAACAAATTATTGTAATATTTAAACAGACTCAGAATCAAATTTTGTCTTTGCCGGTATAGATGACCATGTACATCATAACTTTTGTGTGGAAACCAGTCTCTTTGTTTGCTTTTGTTGATGTTATTTTCAATAAATGATTTGAATAATTACAGAGGGTTAACTCTGCTAAAGGCAGCAAACATATAATTGTTTATGAATAAATACTGGTTTACTAAGGTAGGTTTGGTCTTGTGCTTAATGATGATAAAAAAAAGGCTTCCCTGAATGGAATGTAACCGTTTGTAAAACGGTACAACAACACTTAGTACT